CAATGAATCATGTATGACTTGTTCAAGTGTTTTACATTCTACTTCCAATTGTCCCCATGGACATGTGCAAAGTGAGCACCATGAACAAGCCAATACTATTTTTGCTATTCAAGGGAATAATTCATATGGCAATCATTACAATCCAAGTTGGAGGAACCATCTAAACTTTTCTTGGAAAAGCCAAGGGGAAGGCTCAAACCCTCCCTAAGGTGGTTTTGAAGGAAAGTATGTTCCACCACCAATGCAAGGCCAAGGTTCCCAAGGTATAGACCATATCAATCACAAGGAAACTAATTTTCTAATTATCATTTTCCAAATCAATCTTATTCTCAAGGAAATTCTAGGAGTCCCGCCTTTGAGGAGAAAGTTTTGACCACTCTAAGCACTCTAGAGGCGAACACGCAATTGTTTCATTCTCATTCTCAATCCATTGCTAAGCTAGAAACCCAAGTAGGGCAAATAGCTAGTATTTTAAATGCTAGAGAGAAAGGGAAAATGCCTTTGAATGCCTCACCAAAGCAACAATGTGTTGTGGAGACTCATTCCTCATCGGAAGGTCACACAATAGGGCATGTCAATGCGGTGACTACCTTGAGAAGTGGGAAGATTATGGACAACCAAGTGGGCATATCCGATGAAGAGACTGAACTGGTGCAACCGAAAGTTGACACCTGTCCCGTTTCTTATCATATTCCTCCTTCATTGCATTTGCATGATCTTTCAAATGAGAATGTGTTGAAAAATGATTTAAAAAGTGATCTTGAAAAGAAAAATATGTAAAATGATTTCAAAAGTTCTTATGTTGATGAAACTTTAAAGAAAATTTCTGAAAAGGTTTTTGAACCAAAAGCTACATTTTCGGATGCCCTAAAAGGATCCATTTCAATTGACAAACAAAAGGCCAAAACCAATGAAATCATTGATGTGTTTAGGCAAGTGAAGGTTAACCTTCCGCTTTTGGATGCAATCAAGCAAATTCTGGCTTATGCCAAGTTTTTAAAAGATCTTTGCACCCAAAAGAGGAAGAACAAAAGCAAAATACCTAGGAAAGTGGTCTTAACCGAGCAAGTGAACTCTATTTTGCAACATAACACTCTTCTAAAGTTTAAGGACCCCGGTTCACCTACTACTTCTTGCATCATTGGTGATCATGTCATTAATCGGGCTCTTCTAGACTTAGGAGCAAGTGTTAACCTTCTTCCATACTTGGTATATATCAAATTAGGTTTAGGAGACTTGAAACCGACGTCGGTGGTTTTGCAATTTGCTAACCGATCCATCAAAAAGTCTAGGGGTATCATTGAGGATGTATTGATTAAGATTGATAAGTTTTTCTTCCCCGTTGATTTCGTTGTCATTAACACGGAACCGATCCCAAATCCTAAGAGCCAAATTCCCGTTATCTTTAGCCGTCATTTCTTGGCAATCGCGAATGCCAATATTAATTGTAGGACAGGGATAATGAAGATCTCATTTGGCCACATGAAGATGTAGTTGGATATCTTTAATCGAACCCCGAATTCATTTGACAAGTATGAAGAAGTGAATGTTGTAGAGAAATATCATGACCATGAATGTGAAGGCATAAAGTCTTTGTGTGAAACTAACATTTCAAAAAGTTTATCTTCAACACTGAATTCCAAGACAAATCTTGTTTTGAAAAGGCATGGAAGCCCAAAGATCATTTTGACCAAGGACTAAAAATTTCCTTTGAGCCTAATCCAACAAGTTCTCTAGGAAACCATTTGTTGGGTAGAGTTCAAAGCACTTATCACCCCATTGAGAAGGGGATGCACTACAACATGTTTGATCCGGGTTAAAAGAGCCCAACGTCTTGCTAGAGACGTTAAAGACTAGTGCATTTCATAGGGTGTCACAACCCTATTCCTCCCTCATTTCTATTTTAAATTTTATTTATTGCAAAGTCTAGATATTTGCTTTAGGTTCATATACATTGCTAAGAACTGTGATTAGGATTGCATGCACTTTCATGTTGAAAATAGGCATTTTGTCCAAGTTCGATCGATCTCCAAGGAGGTTCAATTGATCGAACTCCATACCTGCATCCAATCACCTCTCTGTCCAATCGTTCGAAGAAAACCTGCATATTTCAGCTCTTTGTCCCATCGTTCGAACTTGTTCCTAGATCGATCTTTAGTTCTTCGATCGACCAACTTCATCTTGGATCGATCTGCAGTCACAACACTTAGAAAAATTTTGAACTTGCATCCAACCTGCATCCAAAAGCCTCTTTATCTCATCGTTCGAACATGTCTGTAAGTTTTTGTATGTTTGATCGATCGAAGCCTATTTGAGATCGATCTTGGTTTGATAGATCTCAAAAATCCAAAAAATATTTTTCATTTTTAATTTCTGATTTTTAATTTTTCAAAAATTCTAAAGCTTCAAAAACAATTTTTTATCTTTTAATGAGGAGAGATCGATTTCAGTTCAATCGATTTGAGATTTCGGTTCGATCGATCGAACTGGTAAAGGAATGTTTTTAACAATCAAACCTAGGGTTATTAGATCGATATCACAGATCGATCTAACACCCCATCTTCGTCCCTCGCTGCTGCAAACTCACTTCCCTACCTCCGGCGAACCCTCCGGCGACTCTACCTCATCTCGAATCTCCCTCATCTTGGATCTCGCATCTCACTCGCATCTTATCTTCTCTCTCGGTTTGGGTAAGATTCGAAGCCCTCTTTCGATTTCAAGCTTTATGTTCATAAATCCCTACTTTCCATGTTAGATCTAGGATGTTATGATGTTGATTATTGCCATATTTGAAGCTTTGAAGCTATATATAAATATGTATATATATGTATATATTTTGTTTTATATTTTTAGTTTTAATCTTTGATTTTGGGGGTCACGGGCCAAGGAAAGTGACCACATGTGTTGATTTGTTGTGTAGAGGGGCCCACAAGCTTGGTTGTGAAGCCCCCTTGCCATCCACGTCACAGATCTATGACTTTTCGAGTTCTGCATTCCAGTTCGATCGATCGAACATTTTTCTCAGATCGATCTGAGTAAGATCGATCTCACTCATTTCAGATCGATCGAAGTAAGATCGATCTCACATTTTTGTGATCGATCGAACTTTACAGATTTGCACCACACATTTTATACATCATCCCTTGTGTTCCATGCTATCTTATATATACCCAATGCCTGTCTTTTCCACATTGGATGCATTCCATACCTATACTATCTTGCATGTTTCACACCATATCACTTATTCCTTGTCACTTGTATAAATTCATGTGCCTTATCTGTTTTGTCTATCTTATTTGACATGCATGATTCTATAAACTGTGCTTTAATTCTTTATACCGGCACAGACTTCTTTTTTGAGTTTACTTTTATTTTGCAGGCCATGGCTAGGGTCAAGACTGTTACTCGTGGATATTTTTACCGTGGAGCCAGGCGGAGATTAGACGACCAGGCAGGTCCATCTCACGTCCAGGACCCCATTCATGAGGACAGTCAGAGGAGAGTCAGGCAAAGGACAGAGGAGCCAGTAGAGCCTACTCCACCTCAGTCTCCATTATCTGACAGTAAACTACAGTCTTCTGCTGAGGCATCTTCTTCTTCACAGGTTGATGCTGAGGCTGCGCACATACCATCTCCATCACCACCACCAGCTCAGCCAGCCCAAGATTTAGACCGGCCATTGCCGAGATACTCACGCCTTCAGGTGGCGCATGAGTCGGTGTTAGATATCGACTTCTTCTCCCGGTTTGTCCTTACTAGAGCAGTTTATGATGATATAGACCAGAGGGGCATTTCAGCCATCTTAGCCCCTGTTGCATACCCAGTGTACCCGAGGTTGGTCCGGATGTTCTTCCAGAACCTCCGACCTGCCCCGAGTAACCTGGCGGAGCTGCGAACTACAATTGACGGCCACTCTATCAGTATTACTGTGGACACTCTATCCAGATCATGCCTATGTCCACACGTCTGCCCTCCCGATCTCCAAGATACATATCCTACTCTGTGGAGACCTTCTTATGTAGACATGGCTGTGGCACTTATAGGTCACTATGTTGGTGGCAAGATTTTTGCCACTCGAACTTATCTGCCAGACGACCTTTGGTTCTTTGATTCGGTGCCATAAGATACAGAGGCGTGGCGACTATCTGACAGCCCTGTACGCCTTCTAGACAGGGCACTGTCTATCCATTCTTACGCTCATCTGGAGCGTTATGATGAAGTTGTATGCTAATTACATCAGCAATGCCAAGCCCAAACGGGCTAAGTTTATCCCATTCGGCCATCTCATTACAGAGATTCTGAGAGACCAGCACTATCCCTTCCAGCCACAAGAGCGTCTTGAGTCTAGGGCCTGCTCGTTCAAGAAGAAGGACTCGGATAAGAACAACAAGGCTCTTATCAAGAGTCTTCGAGAGGATGCTGCAGCAGCAGTTGAGAAGGTTGAGGAGCAAGAAGCGGCGGCAGCAGCAGCAGAGCAGGCAGCGGATGATGTACCAGTCGATCCAGTTGCCGTGCATATGGATATTGATTTGGAGCAGCCCGCAGATGACCCAGAGCATCACTCTTCAGTTGGGTCGCCCATACATTTCTAGGAGCAGGCTTAGGATCATCATTCTCCCAATCCCGCAGTACCTGAGGCTCCAGTTCATATACCCAGTTTCGAAGAGCGTCTGCAGACTCTAGAGGATGGCATGGTTTCCATCCGGGCTGATATTGCTTCACTCCGTACAGATATCCTAGCCGCATTACAAGATCTATCCAGAGACATCCACGGAGTCCGCCCTGCCTGTCCTACCTCCTCTTCATGATTTTATTATCTCCTTCTCATTTCATATCTATGATTAGACTGTGATTTGACTGATACTGTTATATTTTTTAGGCCAGTCTGTTGGCCCTTTACTGTGATGTACTATAGATACTGTTTCTATTTTCTATACATGCTTTGTTTTTGGATGTCATATATGCATATTGATATATCTGTCTGTGATTGACTCCATCAGGTGCATTCCAATGACTTCAGTGAGAGAGTACTGCCCAAATTTTTCAGGACCACCTTTTTCCTCTCTTCTTACTTCAATTTCTTATCCCATTTACACTTGGATGTCCACTGTGCACTGTTATTATCTCATTTGTTGTCTAATGAACTTTTATCTAGTGCCATTTTTTCAGGACCACAATTAATCCCAAGTTTAGGGAGGTTATACCACCCACTTTGGATACTTGTGTCCCGGCCATTCTTTGCTATCGTTGCACTGGTATACTCTTTCCTTTATTCTCTTTGCACATTGAGGACACTGTGCTATTTAAGTTTGGGGGGGCGGTAATGGTGTTAATTGCAGTATTTGCTTTCAATTCAAAATTTTGAGCATGACTTGTGTATTTGAGGAATTTTCTATAATTGGTTCATAACTAGTTATGATTTTGATCTTTTGAGGACTATATTGCTTAAAATTTAAAAATTGCTTGACTTGAGAGTCCAATACTCCTTGTATGCCTTATGGATACCATTTAGGAATAAATTTTTCGAAAGATTGATATCTTGCTTGCACTTGTGGTCCACATCATCTTGATTTTGTGATTGTTTTGAGATTTACTCTAGGATTCTACACTAGCACAGGCGCACACTAGCATTCATTTATGGGGTGCATGCTTTGTTGATTATTGAATTGATTATATCTCAATTGGGCTAGTAGTGCATTGAAAGCTTTTATTTTGACAAAAGTGGATAACAATCCCTTTTCATTGAGTAGCCGGGATTCTAGCCTCATCAAGTACTGAATTTCTCGCGCCGAAAGGTGGAGGGCCCAAACTCTAGGTTAATAATTGAACTTATTTGTTCAAAAAATAAATAAATAAATAAAAATAAATAAAGAGTTGCAAAAACCAATAAAAAGTGCAGACTTCTCCCAAAAAGGTGAGAAGTGGGAAATGATTAGATGGAGGTTGTTTTGATTTATAACCTAGTTGATTTGAGCTTGTAAGTCTTTAGGGGTGTTTGAACGCCTAATGCCCTAAAGCCGTCCGGTTTGGGAGTCATTAACCTAACGCTCGACCTCATGGATCACTAGAAAGCTTAATAGATTAACACATTGCACTATGCTTCCATCTTTGATCCTTAAGGACAGAAAAAAAAAAAAAAAAAAAAAAAAAAAAAAAAAAAAAAAAAAAATTCGAGTGAAAAGAATAAGCGCACCTAGACCAATAAAGCTTTAATAAAAGGTTCACTCTTTGTTTTGATGATCGGGACTAGATTTGTATGTTAGTTTGAGGGTAAGGATGTGGTCATTTCTTTAGTTGGCTTAGATAGCAACACATTTGATGCCGGTCCACTCAAAAATGATTCTAGTGTTGTTTTGATTTGCATGATCATTTTGTTTTATATGTGGAGGACTATATTTTCTTGTTTGATGTTGAAATTTTGGGAGATTGCTTAGAAATGGTTAAAAAATTGCATACTTGAGGTAATTTTTTACCAATGCTTGTTTGCAATATTAGTGCTTCTTTTGTGAGAATGAGCTTAATGTTTGTGGATATCATTTCTGGAAACCCTCACGAGACTTCACTCGTCCACTAAGGGTAACCTAGGGGTTTAAAAGGCTTGTTGTATATGCTAAATGCAATCTTGATCCCTACGAAAGTGGCGCTATCATTTCATTGCTTTCTAGATTCATAGTTGTATAGTTGTTTATTTCATTCCTTTAATTTGTAGTTCATTGCTAGGGACTAGCAATATTTAAGTTTGGGGGTGTGATAAGCGCTGGAAAATGCGCAATTAAACCCCTTAAGCTTAGGTATTCTAGGACCTTTATCTATCTTACTTTCTCATTTTAGACTAATTACGTGTTATTGCCCTTTTCAGGTACATATCCTCAAAATAAGCTAACTCAGCTAAATAAGAGCATAATTGAAGCAATCTTGAGATGAATAAAAAAAAAGGAGCAAAAAGTAAGCAAGTGGTGGAAATTCAGCAAGTTCGATTGATCACAAAAATGATTCGATCGATCAAAAGTTCATCGATCTTAGCACTTCAAGATGGATCTGAGCTATTTTGTCCTTATCCAAAGATCCCACAAAGTTCGATCGATCTAACCTTCTTCAGATAGATTGAAAAGATTCCATCTTATCCAGTTGTACCACCCCGCCTACCACTTTTGTCTCCTTTCCAAAAATATCCCCAAAATATCTCAGATTTGTCTTTATCCAAAAAGGCGCCGCCATAGAGGATCGATCTAGCTTAAGTTCGATAGATCTCAGCCAAGTTCGATCGATGGTGAGATCGATCGAACTTCCCCAAGTTCGAGAAAATGTAATTTCCAGCTCATTAAAAGTTGTCTCATATCTAATCATTGGGGATGAATATTGGTGTATGAGCCCAGCTCATTAGGGGTGACTTTTAACCTACCTATATAAGAATATAAGCCACTTTTATAAAGGACTTTTAATATAATTTCCATATCATATTCTTAGTGAGGAAAAAAAGAAAAGATGAGGCTAGAGACACAAGCTTAGAGTTCTTCCATCAACCAAGAAGATGAGTAATCTCTATCATGGAGTTAGCCCTTGAGGGTTGGAGGACACCATCTATGAGTGGCTAGACATCCTCTTGGGGCTAGAGTTAGCCCTAAGCATGCTTTTTACATCCTGATTTATGTATTTTTTAGGGGATTTGTATTATGATACAAGTTTTGACATATTTATATACATAGATCTTGTTTATTCAATGATTTGTGTGGTTTAATGCTTCCAATTGTTCATTTCATTCTATCCATATGTCTATGTATGCTAGAATAGATGTTCATGTGTTTGTCTTTAGATTTTGTGTTATTAATGCATGTTTATGTGTATTGATGCTATAGATCTAGAGATTGTCAAGATATAGTGCTTAATAGAATGCTCTTATAGTTTATTTGATGGTTCATACTCATTTCTTGATGGATTGTGTCTTTCCGTTAGTTTAATTAGTTTAATTTCATGTCATTAGCTTAATTGTAGTATAGTTGTAGTTTAGATGTTAAATGGGAGGACAATCCATGCTTATTGTTTGATATTCCACACTTATGAATGCAAGTAGTATATTTCGCTAATTTTGTGATGTGTTTGGATTGTGAGCTTAAAGAGGGATTAATGGCTTAGTTTGATATATTGTGCTATTCATTGTGTTATCTAGACAATATATACTTAATTGGTCATCCATGCTTGTTGAAAAACCACATACACACACTATTGTTGCAATACGTGTTTTCCCCCTCATCAATCATTCATTAAGGGTGTAAAAAAGCTATGCTTAGTGGTGATCTTTAAACCCCAAAATCTCTCTCTCTTATTTTCCCTCTATTGCATTTAATTGTTTACTTTAGTTTAAATTGCATCTTAGTATAATTCAATCACCAACTAATCTTTTGATCACTCGACCTACTAACCCTAATCTCCATTCCACAACCTAATACGACCCATCAATCCCTTGGGACGATCCCTACTCGCCCTAACTATATTTTTAGTAGAAAGTAGTAGTGGTAAATTATAAATATAAAACTTGGCCACACTCATCTTAGTCTACTACTTTTGCACAAATTTGGCCGCCACCGCGAGGACGACACCAGATGTTTATAACGTGTTGACAGAGAATACAGTGAGATAGCTTATGAAAAATAAGCCTTTTTTACTACAGACATTTTTATGAAGAAGCCACATTTTGTAATCCTAACAGTCTTTTTATATTTTGTATCTTTTACTTTTGCTTTGTGCTCTCGACTGTTAGGGGACGGAAAAAGTTCAAACCATGTGCTTGGAACTGCCTGAACCAGAAGTTGTTGATCTTAATTCTAAAGCTGTACAGGGCCTTTATTCAAAGTCCACGATGTGGTTTTTAGTAAAGGCCCTGTACAGCTTCCAAATGAGTTACGGTGGCTTGATTGGCATGCATACCCTTCAGGCTGTTTGCCAGTAAGTTTTCAGGCAGATAATCTTGTTGAATTGAGTATGTGTTATAGCAGCATTAAAGAACTTTGGAAGAAAATAAAGGTATGATCAATATTATATATTTTTGAACTTTATTGAATAAACTGTCGTATTCATGAGAGCCGGTTATTCTTATTTTTTCCATTTGTTTTAACAGCCTCTAGCTATGTTGAAAGTCATCAACCTTCGTCACTCCCATAGGCTATCTAGGACCCCAAACTTCACAGTTATTCCAAATCTGGAGACATTGATTCTTGAGGATTGTACGACTTTGGTTGAGGTTCACCCATCCATTGGAGTTCTTAAAAGGCTTGTTTTTCTAAGCTTGAAAGACTGCAAAAATCTGAAGAGATGTCCAAATGCTATTCACTTGGAATCTCTTGAGACTTTTATTATATTAGGCTGCTTAAAATTAGAAAAGTGTCCTGAAATATGGGGGGATATGCTATGTTTTTCAGAACTTTATTTGGATGGCGTTAGAATGTTTATGTATATATATTTTTTTGTTGGGTCATTATGTAATTACCCATAGTAGTTAGGATTATTGTGTAATTAAGTAACATTATGTAATTAGTTTATCACTTTTTTTCCTTTATATAAGCCTCTTTTGGCTTAAGGGTAATATACAATGAGATACAAAATTCTCTCTCTCAGGAATTTGAACATGGTATCAGAGCTATATGAATTCATGGGTGTGGGAAACGACAATTGTGTTGTTCTTGTATGAGATTGGAATCACGATTAGAATCGCAAGTGCGTTGTTGGTGTCTTTGCCAGAAGTTTTGATCGCCGGCAGGTTGAGAGCCTCATTCGTCATCGTCATCGACAGATCTGAAGCCCCTTTGGCCACTCGTGTTGTTGTCGCTTTAGTTGTCAGCAAGCTCGCCGACATCTACCGTCATTATTTGCAGAGGTGAGGCTTCATCGATTTGTCTTTTCTCTTGGTCGGAAGTTGTAGAGGTTTTGATTCGGTGTGGTGTCGCTGATTATTGAGTGGGCCGTTGCTTGTAATTGGGTTGCTGTCGCTGCTACATGCTTACCGGTGTTTGTCGGTGGGGTTGTGAAGAAGAACAGCCGTGTTTGGCTACGCGGTTATGCTATTCTAACCTTGGTTTATTAAAACCGAGATAGTAGAGACCTAGTTTTGATCCAGCCCAAATCCGGCCCGGTTGCCCAGATCCGGTCTGGCTGCCCAGATTCGGCCCGACTATATATTCTGTAATTTTTTTTTTTCCCAGGTTTGTTTTTTTGTTATCTTCTCCATGGCTGCCTGTTCAGACCTATTATCTTCTACCTCCTTCAATCCTCCCATGACTTCAGTCAAGGTTAATGGCAAAAATTACATTTTATGGGCTAAGTCAGTAGCCATTTTCCTGAAAGCCAAAGGCTTTGGCACTCATTTAGTTAAGGATAAACCCAAAGACAGTGATGCTAATTTCAGTTCATGGGAACAAAGGGATGCTCAAATCATTTCCTTAATGCTAAATTGTATTGAACCTCATAGTAGCTTGAACTTGTTATATCTGGACACTGCCAAGGAGATATAGACCCGACTCCAACAGTTACATTCAGGTACTGGTAATATAACCCGAATTTATGAGGTGCGTAGATAATTTTTTGACCTCCAGCAAAGGACTTACAGTTTAGAAGAATACCTCTCACGGGCAATGGGACTTTGTGAAGAAATGAACTTGTATCAACCCATCACCTCTGATATGAAAGCATGCAACAACAACGTGAGGATTTTAATATTGTTCGGGTTCTCACAGGATTGTCACAAGAGTATGAACCTGTTCGAGCACAAATTTTAGATAGCCCTGCACTTCCCTCTCTTCCTGATATGTTATCCAGACTGCAGCGTGCTACTTTATCCAGTGGCGCTTCAGGGGGTGCTTCAAGTGGTGTCACTTCTCCTCCTAGCAGTGAACGTTCTGC